ATACCAAATAGATATGGATGGATGGAATTAGGACAGTCTCTAATCAATTCTCGACGGCGGCGGTGGCAGCGGCGTTGATGTTGATCGTCATGGTGTCGGCGGGGGTGGCGGAAATAGCGGCGGCGGGCTCGACCTTCTTGGACAGGGTGCTGGGATGGTACTTGTTGTTGTGCATCCAGACCTTCAGCACCTTTCTCTTTACTCCAATCTCCTCACAGAAACGTTTAACTTCGGACTCCCCGAGCTTCTGAATCTTCCAGCCTGACCTCTCCGCAAATTCCAGCATCTTCTCTTTCTGTTCCTGAGTGAACTTGGTCCTGAACCTCTTCCTCTTCCCGGCCGGGTGGTGGTCTCCTCCGGCGGCGCTACCCTCCTCCGCCTGCACCACCATAGCCCGCAGCGGTGTGACCTCCTCTCCCATGGCCTGATGCTGCAAGTGGATCTTCTGGTGGAAGTTCCGGTGACAGTTGCAGACCGCGCACCGGAGGGCTTCGATGGTGCCATCTTCTCCAGCGGCGAGAAACTCGCCGCAGCCGTCTCTGGCGTACCCGTCGAAGGCGGCAGCATGATTCTTTAGACACTCCATGTACCTGAACATCGTCGGCATTGTCGGGTCCCTCTTTTTCAGGCGGCGGCGATGGCGGAGCTGTTGCCGGTATCCTCTGCAGAAACCCTAATTTTTCTGTTCCCAATTGCCGGTTGGAGCTGTGGGGAAATGGCAGGCGGACACCTCTTAAATAGAGGGGGAAGCCATTGGTGGGGTGGGGTGGGGATGGGAGTGAGGTTGGGGCCTTCAAACTGTTTTTAAGGCAGTGTTTGTTCGATTTTTTTTTTTTTTTCTTTTTTGGGTATAAGTTCAGTTTCTCCGGTGCACTGTTTTTTGAATTTTTTTATTTTAAAAATATAAGTAAATATTTGATATTATATTTTAAATTATGATAATTTTATAAATATTTTTATTAATGTAATTTTTATTGTTTATTTTTTGGGCAGAACAAGGACGATTTCAACTATATTCCGGCAATGTAAAAAAATCTATTATATTATTGTTTGTGCAGCGAGTGACGGGGCAGCCACCTGTGGATTTTAGGATTTACTAGTTCCCCGGTAAACCAAAAGGCAAACTGAGCACATGTATACGTGTATTTTATTTCTTTGTATTTTTATTTTTATTTCTTTTTTTAAATTTAGAAAGTGTAGTTCAAATTATGTGAAAATACGAGACAATTTTTCATAAATATTACAATATATATACTAATTAATACAATATATATATATAATGTAGATATATATTTTATATTATGAGACATTATATAATATAGTGATAAATTTATTAAAAATACTAATATATCAATTGTTATGAAATGAAAGAAGTATATTTTTTTCCTCAAATTTATAATATTAAATAATTATTTAATTATTTAAGAATTATATATAAAAAATATTTTTACTAAAAATATCATATAAAAAATCAATGATTTGTTTGTGAGATATAGAGAATTATATTTGTAATATAAAAATTAATATTATATAATGAGAATTTTGTCAAAAATAAAATTGGGTGAACAAACACCAAAATCATTTTATATTTTACTACTCTTTAACCACCAAAACACTTCTGAACAAAATCCGAACAAGACCTTCTTTCTTAAACCCTTTTCCAGATTTTCTTTAATTAAATTCAACCAAAATAATAATTAAAACCACCAAAATTCATTATTATTCAACCTTTTTAACAATACAACCAAATCCGTTCAAACTATTAGCGATACAATAATTATAATAACCGAAATATAAATAAGGATGAGTTTTCCAACTGTTTAAATTTATTATTCCGGTAAAATTAATATTTCTAACGTCTTTTATTTTATCGAGGTTGTTTACTAATTGATAGTTTGTGTGTTTGCATTTTTTTAAGTTAAAATAGTAGTTAAATATGATTTTTTAAAATAAAAATATTTGCTATGTATATTACAGTGGATAGGAAAAAATTATCAAATCGGAAACACAAATAATAATAATAATAATAATAATAATAATAATAAGTTAATTGAACCTCAAATTCTCCAATATATGATAGTTATTTAAGTCATCCAATGCTAATTAAATTTATAATATTCACTTTTATTAAAATATAATTAAAATAATGGAGTATATAATTATTTGAATCTAAATATTATTAAAATTAAAAATAAAATAATATATAGCATGTACATATCTCAACCTAAGATAATAATCACATTTATCTATCATTAATTATAAAATAATTTCTTCTTTATGATAAAACAATATATCAATTTTTATAAATAATTTATTTATTATGATAAAGTAATATTTCAATAATTTTATTAAAATTTGTCCAATTTAATATGTATCAAAACTCGGAAAATTTTTTATTACACCTAATAACCAATAACTACTCGAAAAGTTTTATGACCATTCAGCTTGATCTATTCAAGTTAGGGTTATTTACTAATTGTTTGTTATTTAGATACAATTAATAGTTAAACGTCATATATTTTTATCGAAATTGTTTACTAATTGTTTGTTTGTATTTTTTTGTTAAAATGATAATTGAATATCATATTTTAAATAGAACCATATTTGTTATATTTTAAAATAAAATAATATAGTTGTGATTTTAAAAAATGAGCAGAACCTCATATTTTTCAATATATAAGAATTTTATTTAGTTTTTTTATTTAAATTTTGGTTAGAATAGTATTTTGATTTAATATTTTATATGATAAAATATAATTTTTTTATTAAAAATTGTACAAACTGAATAAATAATTTTTTGTTTAAAATTAAAGAACAATTAACACACCCTAAAATTATCCGATGTTAATTAAAATTAGACATAATTTTCATTATTTATTATTTAAAACAAAAGTATATTTTAAATTATTTTTTCAATACTTTTTCATCATACTTTTTTAAAAAAATCATAATTTTTATACTTTGGTCGTATTATTAAAGTCAAAAGTAATTTTGGAGTGTACATAAATAATTTTATTTTATATTTAATTTTTTACTACTTCAAAACTCCAAAATATTTTCAAATATATTTAAGCACAATCTTATATTTAAGCACTATTTTGGCGCTTCACAATCTTTCCGAAAGTGACAGGAAACTGATGTTGGCAATGGAAGACTTTCTTAAATGCAAAATTATTAATTCTGAAACACACTCACGATTTTTCATAAAGAAATAGAAAAATCAGTGTCAGTGATGATAAAATTTTATTAAATGCACAATAATAATTCTGAAGGCCATATCCCTATTTTGGTACTTTGCAATTCTTTAAAAAGTAACGAAAATAGGGATAAGCATATATATACATTTTCATTAATACAATTTTCCGTTTTTTATTTCAAATTTTAAATAGAATAATAGATTTTGAATATGAATAAATAAATAACCAATAAATATTAAATATAAGATTCTTAAAAAATAAAAACAAAAATTATGATTGATAATAAATTTATAATAATTCAAATAACAACTTTTGATATGTTATTATGCGATATGAGTTCTATATTTTGAACGCATGTAATAGTAGTAGGTCTTTCCAAGTTAATATTCAGTATAAGTTTACAGTGAAATCATACAAACTCGAATAATGTCATATTATGCAATAACACAGGCGAACTTTGGCGTTACAGGATTAAAACGGCCATGTTTAAAGTAGTTAATTAGGAAACAATTAAATCAATTATGTGGTATATATCCATTCTCACATTTGCTCTATTATATGAAGAATGCTGAAAATTATTTTCATTAGTAATTCAATTTTAATACTAAATCGTTCGATATTAAATTGCGCTCAATCATGCAATCTAATGTAGTATTATTGATGGTAACATGTCTTTCCATGATACTACTAGAAAAAAATATATATACACACTGATAAATTGTATAAACTCCAAAGAATGCAACATTATATTATTGCCATGTGCGACATTCGTGTAGTATCAAAATAATGTTACTATACTAATTATGATAAAATATGAGTTTTAGTATAGTATCAAATAACTTACCACAAAAATTTACGACTTAATCAATGATAAATAATAAATAAAACATCAAGGAGAAACAATGTGATATTATGTTATTGACACGTGCGACTTTGATATAATAAAAAAATAGTGTAAATTTTGACTTGTAATAAGATGTGATTTAGGTGTAATATAAAATTAGTTGCGACAAAACTATTTAACGACTTGCAATAAATAATAATTAAAATATCAAGCGGAAACAATTTGACATTATGTTATTGACACGCGTGATTTTAATGTAATATCAAAATAGCGACACTATACTAATTGCGACTTATTGGTGTAATATCAAATTAGTTACAATACAAATTCACAATATACTATAAATAATAAATAAAACATTGAGGGAAGTCAATGCGACATTATGTTATTGTCACGTGCGAGTTTGATGTAATATTAAAATAGCATCACAATACTAATTATGATTTATGATAAAATGCGACTTAGGTGTAAACACCAAACTAATTACAACATAAATTCACGACTTATCAAAAATAATAAATAAAAAATCGAGAGGATAAAATTGTAATTTTACTTTAGATTCTTGTCCTTTCTCCTCCAATAGCGACCACTCCCATCTCCGGCCTCCGGTGATGCAAAAAAACTTCACCAAACAAAAACTTAAACTTTAAAACCCTAGATATCGACTGTCACCGGCAACCACCATACATTTTTGCGCCGTTGTGGCCGCGCCGCCGTGCTGGTGATGTTCATGTTTGTAACAATTAAGTAAGAAGAACATGGCAGAATTAAGTGTAATAAAAATAAATAATCGAAGCTTGCTAGGTTATTAAAAATCTTATTATATATTATTATGATGATGATGATAAGAAAACCAAACGAGAAAGAAAACAACAGTAGATGATAATTATAATTAAAAACATATCAAATAGATATGGATGGATGGGTTGATGGATGGATGGAATTAGGACAGTCTCTAATCAATTCTCGTCGGCGGCGGTGGCAGCGGCGTTGATGTTGATCGTCATGGTGTCGGCGGGGGTGGCGGCGATAGCTGCGGCGGGCTCGACCTTCTTGGGCAGGGTGCTGGGATAGTACTTGTTGTTGTGCATCCAGACCTTCAGCACCTTTCTCTTTACTCCAATCTCCTCACAGAAACGTTTAACTTCGGACTCCCCGAGCTTCTGAATCTTCCAGCCTGACCTCTCCGCAAATTCCAGCATCTTCTCTTTCTGTTCCTGAGTGAACTTGGTCCTGAACCTCTTCCTCTTCCCGGCCGGGTGGTGGTCTCCTCCGGCGGCGCTACCCTCCTCCGCCTGCACCACCATAGCCCGCAGCGGTGTGACCTCCTCTCCCATGGCCTGATGCTGCAAGTGGATCTTCTGGTGGAAGTTCCGGTGACAGTTGCAGACCGCGCACCGGAGGGCTTCGATGGTGCCGTCTTCTCCAGCGGCGAGAAACTCGCCGCAGCCGTCTCTGGCGTACCCGTCGAAGGCGGCAGCATGATTCTTTAGACACTCCATGTACCTGAACATCGTCGGCATTGTCGGGTCCCTCCTCTTTCAGGCGGCGGCGATGGCGGAGCTGTTGCCGGTATCCTCTGCGGAAACCCTAATTTTTCTGTTCCCAATTGCCGATTGGAGCTGTGGGGAAATGGCAGGCGGACACCTCTTAAATAGAGGGCGAAGCCATGGGTGGGGTGGGGTGGGATGGGGGTGGGAGTGGCCTTCAACTGTTTTTAAGGCAGTGTTTGTTCGATTTTTTTTTTTTTGGGTATGAGTTCAGTTTCTCCGGTGCACTGTTTTTTTGAATGTTTTTTATTTTAAAATATAAATAAATATTTGATATTATATTTTTAATTATGATAATTTTATAAATATTTTTATTAATGTAATTTTTATTGTTTATTTTTTTGTCGGAACAAGGACGATTTCAACTATATTCCGGCAATGTAAGAAAATCTATTATATTATTGTCTGTGCAACGAGTAACGGCCGCAGCCGCTTGTGAATTTCAGGATTTGCTAGTTCCCCAGTAAACCAAAAGGCAAACTGAGCACATGTATATGTGTATTTTATTTCTTTGTATTGGTTTTTTTTTTTTAATTAGGAAATTGTAGTTCAAATAATGTGAAAATACATGACAATTTTTCATAAATATTATTTAAATATTACAATATATACAATAATTAATACAATATATATAATATAGATATGCATATTTTATATTATGAGACAATATATAATGTACTGATAAATTTATTAAAAATATAAATATATCAACTGTTATGGAGTGAAAGATGTATATATTCTTTTCCTCAAATTTATAATATTAATAATCATTTAATTATTTTATAATTTAGGAATTATATAAAAAATTATTTTTATGATTTGTTTGTGAGATATAGAGAATTATGTTCCTAATATAAAAAATGTATTTTATATTGAATGTAAACTTCTGCGAAATAATAAAATATATATAATGAGAATGGTGTCAAAAATAAAATTGGGTGAAAAAACCCTTAATCATTTTATATTTTACTATTCTTTAACCACCAAAATACTTCGGAACAAAATCCAAACAAGACCTTCTTTCTTAAACCCTTTTCGAGATTTTCTTTAATTAAATTCAACCAAAATAATAATTAAAAACCACCGCAATTCATTATTATTCAACCTTTTTAAACAATACGACCAACAATACGACCAAATCCGTTCAAACTATTAGCGATACAATAATTATAATAACGGAAATATAAATAAGGATGGGTTTCCCAACTGTTTAAATTTATTATTCGGGTAAAATTAATATTTCTAACGTCTTTTATATTATCGAGATTGTTTACTAATTGATGGTTTGTGTGTTTGCATTTTTTAAAATTAAAATAATAATTAAATATGATATTTTAAAAATAAACATATTTGCTATATATATTACAGTAGATAGGAAAAAATTATTAAATTGTAAACACAAATAATAATAATAAGTGAATTGAACCTCAAATTTTCCAATATATGATATTTATTTAAGTCATCCAATGCTAATTAAATTTATAATATTCACTTTTATTAAAATATAATTAAAATAATGGAGTATATAATTATTTGAATCTAAATATTATTAAAATTAAAAATAAAATAATATATAGCATGTACATATCTCAACCTAAGATAATAGTCACATTTATCTATCATTAATTATAAAATAATTTCTTTTTTATGATAAAAAAAAATATATCAATTTTTATAAATAATTTATTTTTTATGATGAAATAGTATTTCAATAATTTTATTAAAATTTGTCCAATCTAATATGCATTGAGACTCAGAAAATTTTTTATTACACCTAATAACCAATAACTACTCGAAAATATTTTGGCGATACAGTCTAATCTATTCAAGTTAGGGTTGTTTACTAATTGGTTGTTATTTAGAAACAATTAATAGTTAAACGTCATATATTTTTATCGAAATTGTTTACTAATTGTTTGTTTGTGTTTTTGTGTTAAAATGATAATTGAATATGATATTTTAAATAGAAACATATTTGTTATTATTTTAAAATAAAATAACATAGTTGTGATTTTAAAAAGTAAGCAGCACCTCATATTTTTCAATATATAAGAATTTTGTTTGGTTTTTATTTGAAATTTAATTTTTTTATTTAAATTTTGGTTAGATAGTATTTTGATTTAACATTTTATATGATAAAATAATATATTTTCATTAAAAATAGTACAAAGTGAATAAATAATTTTTTGTTTAAAATTAGAAAACAATTAACACACCCTATAATTATCGGATGTTAATTAAATTTAGTCATAATTTTTTATTTTAAATTATTTTTTCAATACTTTTTCATCATATTTTTTTGAAAAAATCATAATTTTTATACTTTGGTCGTATTATATATGAATAAAGTCAAAAGTAATTTGGAGTGTAAATAAATAATTTTTTATTTATTTAATTTTTTACTACTTCAAAACTCCAAAATATTTTCAAATATATTTAAGCACAATCTTATGTTTAAGAACTATTTTGGCGCTTCACAATCTTTCCGAAAGTGACAGGAAACTGATGCTAGCAATGGAAAATTTTCTTAAATACAAAAGTATTAATTCCGAAACATACTCACGAATTTTCATAAAGAAACAGAAAAATAAGTGTCAATGACAATAAAATTTTATTAAATGCACAATAATAATTCTGAAGGCCACATCACTATTTTGGTACTTTGCAATTCTTAAAAAAGTAACGAAAATAGGGATAAGTATATATATACATTTTCATTAATACAATATTCCGTTTTTTATTTCGAATTTTTAAATAGAATAATAGATTTTAAATATGAATAAATAAGTAAAAAATAAAAACAAAAATTATGATTGATAATTAATTTTATATTAATTCATATAACAAGTTTTGATATGGTATCGTGCGATACTAAATTCTAAATTTTGAATGCATGTAATAGTAGTAAGTCTTTCCAAGTTAATATTCAGTATAAGTTTACAGTGAAATCATACAAATTCGAATAATGTCACATTATGCAATCGCACACGCGAACTTTGGCATTAGAGGATTAAAATGCGATGTTTAAAGTAGTTAATTAGGAAACAATTAAGTCAATTGTGTGGTATCTATCCATTCTCACATTTGTTCTATTATATGAAGAATGCTGAATATTATTTTCATTAGTCATTCAATTTTAATACCAAGTATACTAAATTGCACTCAATCATGCGATCTAATGTAGTATTATTGATGGTAACATGTCTTTCCATGATGCTACTATAAAATATATATATATACACACTGATAAATTGTATAAACTCCAAACAATGCAATATTATGTTATTGACATGTGCGACATTCGTGTAGTATCAAAATAATGTTACTATACTAATTATGATAAAAATATGAGTTTTAGTATAGTATCAAATAACTTACCACAAAAATTTACGTCTTAATTAATGATAAATAATAAATAAAACATCGAGGGAAAATAATGTGACATTATGTTATTGACACGTGCGACTTTGATATAATATAAAAATAGTGAATTTTGACTTATAATAAGATGTGATTTAGGTGTAATATAAAATTAGTTGCGACAAAAATATTTAACGATTTACAATAAATAATAATTAAAAGATCGAGGGCAAACAATTAACATTATGTTATTGACACGTGCGATTTTAATGTAATATCAAAATAGCGACACTATACTAATTGCGACTTATTGGTGTAATATCAAATTAGTTACAATACAAATTCACAATATACTATAAATAATAAATAAAATATTGAGAGAAGTCAATGCGACATTATGTTATTGTCACGTGCGAGTTTGATGTAATATTAAAATAGTATCATAATACTAATTACGATTTATGATAAAATGTGACTTAGGTGTAAACACCAAACTAATTACGACATAAATTCACGACTTATAAAAAATAATAAATAAAATATCGAGAGGATAAAATTGTAAGTTCACTTTAGATTCTTGTCCTTTCTCCTCCAATGGCGACCACTCCCATCTCCGGCCTCCGGCGATGCAAAAATATTCACCAAACAAAAATTAACTTAAACTTTAAAACCCTAGACATCGACTGTCGCCGGTCACCACCATACATTTTTGCGCCGTTGTGGCCGCGCCACCGTGCCGGTGATGTTCATGTTTGTAACAATTAAGTAAGAAAAATATGGTGCAGTAAAAATAAATAATCGGAGCCTGCTAGGTTATTAAAAATCTTATTATATATTATTACGATGATGATGATAAGAAAACCAAACGCAAAGGGAAACAACACTAGATGATAATTTTAACTAAAAACATATAAAATAGATATGGATGGATGGATGGATTGATGGATCGATGGATGGATAGTCTTTTTCAGTTCTCGTCGTCGGCGGTGGCAGCGGAGTTGATGTTGATAGTCATGGTGTCGGCGGGGGTGGCGGCAATAGCAGCGGCGGGCTCAATCTTCTTGGGCAGGGTGTTGGGATGGTACTTGTTGTTGTGCATCCAGATCTTGAGCACCTTTCTCTTTACTCCAATCTCCTCACAGAAACGTTTCACCTCAGATTCCCCGAGCTTCTGAATTTTCCAGCCCGACCTCTCTGCAAATTCCAGCATCTTCTCTTTCTGTTCCTGAGTGAACTTGGTCCTGAACCTCTTCCTCTTCCCGGCCGGGCGGTGGTCTCCTCCGGCGGCACCACCCTCCTCCGCCTGGACCACTGTAGCCCGCGGCGGCGTGAGCTCCTCTCCCATCGCTTGATGCTGCAAGTGGATCTTCCTGTGGAAGTTCCTGTGACAGTTGCAGGCCGCACACCGGAGGGCTTCGATGGTGCCGTCCTCTCCTGCGGCGAGAAACTCGCCGCAGCCGTCTCGGGCGTACCCATCGATGGCGGCAGCGTGATTTTTCAGACACTCCATGTACCTGAACATGGTCGGCATTGTTTGGTCCCTCCTATTCCAGGCGGCGGCAGCGGAGCTGTTGCCGTTATCCTCTACAGAAACCCTAAGTTCTGCTTCCCAATTGCCGCTGAAACTCATGGAGGCAGTTGCGGAGGGGAAATGGCTAAGCGATGGAGGTGATGGTGGATGGGAAATGGCGAGGCATTGCTGCACTTAAATAGGGGGAAATAGCGAGGGGTGGGGTGGGGTGGGGTGGGAGTGGGAGTGGGTGCAATTTAAAGGGGGTTTTTTGTTTTGTAGTGCAATTACAAGGGTCGTCCAGTCCAGAGAAGACAAAGTTAACAGTTACACTCGCACAAAGAGAATACTTTTTCGTATAAATTCAAATTATTCTTTTTATTATTTTTGTCTATTTTATTTTAAATCTAAATATCTCTTTCTTATTTTAGAGAAAGTAATCATAAATTCATATCAAAATATTTTTAACTTTTATCTATATTACAAATATATACAATTATTTTTTATGTAAAATCAAAAGGCAAAAAGTATAAAAAAAATCTCTTACACTTTCTGACCAATAAAATACTTAGTAATACATAAATATTTGATATGATATTTTAAATTTTTAAAATTGATGACTATTTTTATTTGGTTAAACCGGACCGAACTTCCTTTACACTATTTTCGAGTTGTTCTTTAAATGAATTCAACTAAAATCTGAAAAACCACCTTAATTCATTATTATTCAACCTTTTAATTAAAATTATTTACACCGAGCTAATAACCGATAACTACTTACCGTACTGTTTCACCATACGACCTAATCTATTCAAAATATTGGAAAATTATATTAATTAAAATAATCGAAACATAAATAGAGATTGAGTTTCTTAACTATTTGCATTTATTAACCTGACACAATTAATACTTTAGACGTTGTATATTGTTCGAGGGGTTAAAGTATGAATAATAAAATTGTGGGTGAAGAGAATTATTTACTATAAAAATTATGTATAAGTGTAATAGACCAAAAAAAATTGACAGATGGTTTGTAAAATAAAATAATATGTAACATGAATATATCTAAAGGCAATATAATATTCACATTCATGTATCATTAGTTATAAAAGATTCTATATGCATTCACTAAATTTGTGTGATAAAATTAGGGTTTGATTGATTTTGATTTATAATTGGAATTTTAATTTGAATAGTATGTTGGTTTAGTATTATAGTTTGAGGGTTTTTTTTTTTTTTTTTTTTTTTTCTTATTTGGGTATCTGAAATTGTGTCATAGTGTTGTTTTGCTTGAATTAGTGATTTTCTTAATGAAAGAATAGAGCATATATTTTTTACATTTATTTTTTGCATATTAAATTTATAATATTAATTATTATATCAAAACATATTATAAATAAAAAAATGTGTCAATACTTCTATTAATATCTTATAAAATAAATATAATGACATTTTTTTAATAAATTATACAAATATAAATATATTTTAAATGTTAATTACAATTACAACAAAAGATAAGTGTAAACCTTAGAGCGGGATGAATGAGGTATTTTTTATTCATATTTATCAACAATCTTGTCAATTGATATTATTGGATGAATAAACATGTTTAAATATTATTTTGATATAATATTTTATAAAATAATATATCTTTTATTGAAAATCGTAAATAATAAATAGTGGTAATATTGATTTGAAACAAAAACCAAACACACCATAATATTTCAATAAATATGAAGCTAAGTATCGATTTTTATAAATAATTTTTAAGCAATTGCTATTTTTTTCCAATCAATTGCATAGCAGGTTTGTTTGTCACAATTTTTATAATGTTTTTTTTTTTAATATACATATTTTGTCCTTTTACAAAAAGTAAGGTTCAATATAAAATATTCTTTTCTATATTACCGAAATAATTCTTTATACTTTATATAAAAAAAAAAAATTAAAATCAAAACACTAAACAAATAAACATGTTTTTATTTAAAATACTTTCTTCAATAATTATTTTAACCAAAAATATACAAACACACAAACAAACAATTAGTAAACAATCTCAATAAAATGTCTAGACTATTAATTGTATCTTAATAATAAATTTAGATACTTAAGAAACCAAATCATACATATTTCAATTGTTATAATTAATGTACCTTTTTAATATTTTGAACAGCATAGGTTGTATCTTCAAAAAAGTATTTTATTATTGGTATTAGGTGTAAAAAAAAAATTAATTAAAAAGTTAAATAATAATGAATTAAGGTGGTTTTTAAAATTTTTTGGTTGAAATTAATTTATAAAAAAAAAAAAAAAAAAAAAAAAAAAAAAAAAAAACCTCAAACAAGGGAGAATAGTTGGTCGGTATTCTCATCTTCTTATTTTTTTATATTTTTTAAATTTTTTATATTTATTTTATTTTCTGAAATAATTTTGGATGCATATTTAATTGGATAAGTTTGTATAATATTCTTTGTCTTAATAAAAAGTATCATTTTTAACCATTTTGTTTGCGACACTTAAAATATCTCTTTTATATTAGAATTAAAGTGATTGCATATTAATACAAAGATACTTTTAATTTTTAAAGATGAATTACAAATATACATAAAATACAGAAAATAAAAATATAAAAAATCATTTTATATGTTTTTATTAACCAATAAAATACTACTACCTCCGATCCACCACAATCTATCTGTTTACTTTTTGCATGTTAATTTTTGAATATTAATTATTATATCAAAATATAGTACAAATCAAGGAAAAACGACAAAAATATTTCTATTGGTATTTTATAATACTAATGTAATGACATTTGTACAAAAAATTATACAAATATAAAGATATTTTTAATGTTAAAAACAATGACGCCAAATACAAACGGATAAATTGATAGTGAACGGAGGTAGTAGTATTTTTTAATCTAGTATAAAAGATATATGGGTCTGATGGAGGGAACATTAATTAAATATTATTTTATCATAGTAAAAAAAATTTATTTATAAAATACTTACTTTAACCTAAAAAAGTAAAATACAAAAACAAACAATTAGTAAACAACCTTAATTAGAGTAATAAAATTTAAACAGTTAAGAAATTCTCTATGTATATTTTGGTTATTACAATTAATTTAACTTTTCAATATTGTGAATAGATTAGGTCGTATCATCAAAAATTATTTTGAATAGTTATAGGTTATTAGGTGTAAAAAAAAATAAAATAAAATAAAAAGTTGAATAATGATAAAGTGTTTTTCTCTAAAAAGAAAAATTGGTTGAATTTAATCAAAGAAAAACTAAAAAATTATTAAAAGAAATAAGGTCTTGTTTGGATTTCGTTCGAGTTGGTTCGGTGGTAAAGGAATAGTAATATGTAAAATAATTTAGGTTGTGTTTTTTTTGTGAGATTTAAACAGGTTTTTTCTATTTAGATTCTATTTTTCTTCCAAAAATATCAAATATAAATAATTATTTTATTTTATATTATACTCAAATTTATTTTATATTCAAAACATTACATCAACCTCTATTTATATTACATCAAACAACTATTCAAATTTAATTTTTTATTATTCAAAAATTCAAACCTAAAACTAAAAAATCCACAAACAAACACAGCTTTTGATAGGATGCTTGAAATAGAAAATATTTGTTTAAATAATACTTAAATCATAAAATAATAATTTAATATTATACTTTTGAGAAAAAATATATATAAAAAAAATAAATAGTCCAAAACTTTAACCAAGACTCCAAATAAAGAAAGAAAAATCAAAATTATTTAGACACATACTCTCTCCGTCCCATAAATATAGTCTTAATTGGGATGTACACGAGATTCAAAGAATATTAATATTATATTGGTAGTCGGTAAAAAGTATAGATAAAAATGTATTAATGTAAAAAGTAGTGACAACTGTATAATAAAATGAAAAAATAGAGGTAATTTTACGGTGATATGATTATTTATGAAAATAAGATTATTATTTTAAAATAAATAAAAATAATAAGCAAAACTATTATATTAGAAGAGAAGGAGTATTTGAGATTGAAAATATCAAAATTAAGTAAATAATCAACCCTTACGTAGAATAAATAATATTGATACGCTATTTTCATTGAACTACATATTACAAATGAAAAAGAAAAAACACTGCAAATAAATAAAAAGACACGTATGCATGTGTTCAGTGTGCCTTTTGGTTTACTAGGGAATAGCAAAATCACCGTCAGCTGTGGCCGTTACTCTCTGCACAACAGTAATAAATGAGTGAAACCACCATCTTGTTTTGCCACCTAAAAAAAATTAAATATTACCATTATCATAATTAAAAATAGCATACTTTCTTCAATCTCATATTTATCTATTCATTTGTTTTTTATACAAAATTTTAAAAATATTAATATTATATTAAAATATAAATAAAAATAAAAGTAAAATAACTAAATTACATTTTATTAGTATTGTATCGTACAAAGATAATATTATTATATAATATATTGTAAATTAAAAATATATTTGTAATATTAGATAGATAGTATAATTAGTAAAAAAATAAATATTATATTATAGATCAGACAAAAAAAAATAGATTACTAATAGATATGTATTTGTAAATTACATATAAAAAAATAAAATCAAATTCAGTGTATTTCAAAAAAAAAAAAAAAAAAAACAGTCCTAAAACAGTTGACGGCCTGACAGCCTGTGCACCCGCCCTCGCCCTCACCCCCACCCAACCCTACCCCACTCCACCCCACCCCACCCCTACCCTTACCTCTCTATTTAAGAGTGGAGCAACGCGTCGCCGTTTCCCCACAACTCTTCCATGAGCTTAAGCGGCAACAGGGAGGAAGAAATTAGGGTTTCGGGAGACGATAACGGCAACAGCTCCGCCGTCGCCGCCGCCAGGAATAGGAGGGACCCGACAATGCCGACGATGTTCAGGTACATGGAGTGTCTGAAGAATCACGCTGCCGCCCTCGGCGGGAACGCCCGAGACGGCTGCGGCGAGTTTCTCCCCGCCGGAGAAGACGGCACCATCGAAGCCCTCCGGTGCGCGGCCTGCAACTGTCACCGGAATTTCCACCGGAAGATTCACTTGCAGCATCAGGCCATGGGAGAGGAGCTCACGCCGCTGCGGGCTATCCAGGCGGAGGAGGGTGGCGCCGCCGGAGGAGACCACCGCCCGGCGGGGAAGAGGAAGAGGTTCCGGACGAAGTTCACTCAGGAACAGAAAGAGAAGATGCAGGAATTCGCGGAGAGGTCGGGCTGGAGGATTCAGAAGCTCGGGGAGTCCGAGGTTAAGCGATTCTGTCAGGAAATTGGAGTGAAGAGAAAGGTGCTGAAAGTTTGGATGCACAATAATAAGTACCATAACTGCACCCTCCCCGCCGCCAACAAGACAGAGCCCGCCGCCGCTACCGCTGCCACTACCGCCGCCGCCGCTGCCGACACCATGACTATTAACATCAACGCCGCTGCCACCGCCGATGACGAGAGCTGAAGAAGACTGTCCTTCCTTCCATCCATAAATCCATCCATCCATCTATATCTATCAATTTCTATTTATATATATGTATGTATTATTACATGATATACAATGTCGTGTAATAAAATCTATCATCTGCAGTTGTTTTCCTTGGCGTTTCGTTTTCTTTTCATCACCGGAAAGTTCTCCTTAATTTATTTTAATAATTGTATTTGTATTTAATTCTGTCACGTTTTTCTTACTTAATTGTTACAAACATGAACATTACTGGCGCCGCGGCACGACACACCGCGGCCACAACGGCACAAATGCATGGTGGTGGCGGCCCGGGCGGCGACAGTCGATGCTAGGGTTTTAAAGATTTAGTTAATTTTGTTTGCTGAATTTTTTTTCCATTGCGGGAGATGGAAATGTCCCCTATTGGAGGAGAATGAACAAGAATCTAAAGTAAAATTACAATTTTATTCTTTGGATATTTTATTTATTAATCTACCGTGAAATTGTATCATAACTAATTTGATATTACATTAAAATCGTATTTTATAATAAATTGTAATTACAATAGTAACTATTTTAAAATTACATCAATTAAAGTTGACGTGTCAATAACATACTATTACATTATTTCCTCTCCACATTTCATTTATTATTTATCACTAAATCGTAAAATTGTGTAGCAGCTAATTTGGTATTACACAAAATCGCATATTTTATCGCAAGTCACAATTAGTAGTAATGTTATTTTGAAAGTACACAAAAATCACATGTGTCGATGACGTAATGTCGCATGCATTCTTTCCCCGATGTTTTATTTTTTATTTATCATTAAATCGTAAATTTTTGTTGTAACTATTTGATATTATGCCAAAATTGCTCGTATTTCATCATTAGTCGTAATTAGTATAGTAACGCTAGCTATTTTGATACAACACATGTCGTATGTGTGAAGTAATATAATGTTGCATTGTTTGGAGTTTATACAATTTATCAATGTGTATATATATATATTTTTTCTAGTAGTAACATGGAAAGACACGTTACTTTCAATAATACTACATTTTATTGCGAACGAATTATAAAATTAATTGCACATAATAATATGTTTATGCAAATACAAAATTGGATATTGCATACACGATTATATCTATGGTTAAAAAAAAAACACACACTAATGTTAAACACTTTAGAAGATGAAAAATATGCACGAGACTTTGATACTATTGCAAGACCTTTGTGTTTTATTGTAAACACACACATAAATTATTAATTATTTTTTAAATATTATATATAATATACTCCTTCAACTCTAACTTAATGTATTTTTTTATTATTATTTTCGTCTAGTTCATTCAAAATTATTTGTTTTATCGTAAAATTAATCTATATACAAATACCAAAATATTTATTTTTTTGTACTTATAAGAACAAGAATATTAAAACTATTTTACATACTTCTACTTACTAATAAAATATTATTATTTTTAAATTAATTAAAAAATAAAATGATACATTCGATAAGGAAGGAGGAAAGTACATTTTTTGTTTACTTATTCATATTTAAAATCTATTATTTTATTTTAAAAAAATTAAATTAAAAAGGGAAAATTGTATTAATGAAAATGTAAATATATAGTTATCCCCATCTTCGTTACTTTTGAAGAATTGCAAAGCACCGAAATAGTGATGTGGCCTTTGAAGTATTTATTGTGCATTTAATACATTTTTCTGACACTAGTTTTTCTGTTTCTTTATGAAAAATCGTGAGTAGATTTCACATTAATACTTTTGCATTTAATAAAGTTTTCCATTGCCAACATTAGTTTCCTGTCACTTTCGGAAATATTGTAAAGCTCCAAAATGGTCAAAGAGGCTGTGTAATTTAAGCATGTCTTGTAATTAGGATTGTATTTAGATATGTTTTAAATTAATTATTCGGCCTACACGCTTTTAAATAAATTAATACTATTATTTTCTTTTATAAAATATTATATCATAATATTATTTAAATCAAAATTTTAATCTTAAAAGCAAAACCAAGCAAACCCTACAAACTAATGTAATGTCAATAGATGTGGATGTAATAGTTTCTATAAAATAGGCATAGGACAGAACATATACTTTTAAAATACAATTGATAAAAATTATATGTAAATAAAATTAAATATTTTAAATAAGAAAGATTGAAGGAATTAGACGGTTTATAAAACTACAAAGAAGTCTGAAGTTGTTTTAAAAGTACGAAAGATTTGACACAATTTCATCGAATAAGTGAATTTGGTGCAATTTTGTTTTTTTGTTTTTTTTTTTATTGCACTCCTAAAAATAGAGACATTAATATATAAATAGAGTAATAAACAGTTCAAAAAATTATATTAAAAACATCATTTACTCAAGAAAAAATTATAAATACAATATATGTAAATTAAAATTGAAAAAAGTTTCTTATTTATTTTTTTCATATATGTAGGTCTTTTAATTCTTCTTATACATGTATGAAAAAATAATAATAAATAATCAAATACAATAATAACTTATAGTATAAAATATAATATACTATTAAAAAATATATATGATAGCAGTCAAATATTTAATTTAAAAAAAAAAAAAAATCTAACAAATATCTACTATTTGAAAGAGAAGTTTCAATATTCATTTGATTTAGTTTATCCTAAAGATCTTTAGCAATTCATACACAAATATTTTTGAATGACATGATAGGCAAGAGTTTTTTTTTTCTTTTTTTTTTTTAATTCATCCAACTCAATCTTCTTCTATTTTAATTGCTTTTATTAATTTGAGTTACTAAAATAATTCGCATAGGTCGTAGTGTTTCTTTTTGCCCCTTGTGTGTATTTACAGCATATTGTGCTTGTCAATGGTTATTTGAGTTTAATCTTCAGTTAGGTAAGGGCTGGTGTGTTTGGATCGAAATTGTTGCTTGTAGGATGGTTTATTCGTATTTGGATAAATCTAGGGTTGACCCCTTTTCAAATAACCTTATTTTGTTGTTTTAGGTTTATATATATACAAGTTCTTTTTTTTTTGTTATAACTTTACTTTTCTTGATTGTTTTGCGTAAATCGAAAAGCATTGTAACAAAGTTTCGATCCTTCTAAAACATAACAATTTGATTGTAATTCCTTGAAATTGTGACAACTTTAATTTAGGTTAACTCAAATCGATTGCATAATTAAGTTACAGAGAAGATTTCCCCAGGTGGAGGTCTCCTCCCACGGCCTTCTCGTCCAAGAAAATCCTGCGATGGAAGCTCCGGTGACAGTTACAGCGCTTGCACCTGAGGCCGTCTTCTCCGGCGGGGAGAAACTCTTTGCAGCCGTCTTGGACGTTCCCGCCGAGGGCGACGGCATGATTCTTCAGACAATTCATGTACTTGACCGTCGTCGCCATTGTCTCGGAGCTCTTGCCGTTATCGTCTCTCGATCGAAACCCTAATTTCTTTCTCCCCAATTGCCACTGAAGCTTGTGAGGAAATGGCGAGGCAGACCTGGGCTCTTATATAGAGAGGGACGCGGGTGGTGGGGGTGGGGTAGGGGTAGGGGGTAGGGTGGGGTGCAATTACAAAAAAGGCCTGTGGGGCCGTCCACTGTTTTATGGCAGTGTTTGTTTCCGATTTTTTTTTTTTTTTTCTATTTTAGTTTGCGTAGAGTTTGAATTTTGAATTGAGATTTGAATAGTAAAAAATTTGAATTTGAATAGTGTTATAATATGATATAAGTATGTAATGATGTGATATTTTGAATGTAAAATTGATTTTTAGTATAATATAAAAATAAAAAAATAAGTGTTTGATTTGATATTTTTGGGAGAAAAAATTATGTATGAATAGTATAAATCCATACAAATTCTTCAAACAAATACACCCTTTATGAATTTAGTTTCTCATGTTTTGAAATATATATAATTTGAATTTTTATTTTTCTAATGAAAATATAAATAGATATTTGATATAATATTTGAAATTATAAAAAAAAAAAACATTTTAAAAAACTTTATTTATTTATTTTTGTGGCGAAAGGAGGTGAGTTTTAAGTACATTGTGGTTGTGTAAAAGAATCTATTTATTACTGTGCAATGTGTAACGGCGCAAAAAAGATGTCAGTTTCAACTATTACTAGTTGTGCAATAAATAACGGCGTAAAATGGGGTTTACTGACTGTGCAATGAGTAACGGCGCAAAATTAGGTCAATTTCAACTAAGTAACGGCCACAGCCGCAGGTGGTTTTACTATTCTTTAATCACCAAACCACTTCCGAACACCATCCAAACAAGATTTTCTTTCTTAAATTATTTTTTAATTTTTCTTTTATTAAATTCAACTAAAAAAAAAAAAACACCTTAATTCATTATTATTCAACCCTTTAATTAAAATTTATTAACACCTAATAACCAATAACTACGCGAAATAAGTTTTGACAATAGGACTTATTGTGTGCTCTAGATATTGACGAGATACTTTAATTAAAAAAATTGAATTATAATTAGAAATTGAGTTTCTAACTTTTTTAAATTTATTATTCAGATACAATTAATACTTTAGACATCGTTTATTTTATCGAGGTTGTTTACTAATTGTTTGTTCGTACTCATTTTACTATTCTTTAACCACCAAACCACTCACAACAACATCCAAACAAGACCTTCTTTCTTTGAAATTTTTTAGTTTTTTATTTTTTTTCAATTAAATTCAACCAAAATTTTAAATTTTAAAATTTAAAATAAAAACCACCTTATTCATCATTATTCAACATTTTAATTAAAATTTTCTTACACCTAATTAATAACCAGTAACTATGCGGCGGATTTCTTAACGGTTTAAATTTATTAATTGGATACACTTAATACTTTAGACATAGTTAGTTTATCAAGATTCTTTACTAATTATTTATTTATGTGTATTTAATATTCTTTAACCACCAAATCATTTTCAAACAACATCCTAACAAGACTTTCTTTCTTTAATATTTTTTTTTGTTTGTTTTTCTTTAATTAAATTCAACCAATTTTAAAATAATAAAAAAAAAACGGCCTTAATTCATTATTATTCAACATTTTAATTAAAATTTTCCTACACCTAACAACCAATAAAAATGTATGAGTATTTAAGTCATTTTAGATATTATCGCCTTCATATTGTTCTAGATATTATCACCCTCTAATCGTTCTAAATATTATTGTTTTCTAGATATTATCGCCCTCAAATCGTTCTAAATATTATCGCTTTTTAGATATTATCGTCTATAATTCACTTAACGTCAGTCATTCAAGCCTTTACAAATATTGTCGTCCTGACACAACCCACTTTATATCGGTAATTTGTGTTATTCTAGATATTATCGCTTTCGCATAATCCACGTCACATCACTAAATTAAGGGCATGGATTAGCTGTTGATCCGATCAAGTCAACGTTGATTTGACCGGATCAGCATATGCTATAGGGGTGACCGCGTATATTTATACATATTGAGCATATTTATAATATAATATATTATATTATAACTCAATATATGCTATCTTACAACATAATATATTGAGATATGTATAAATATACCCTAGTCATCCCTGTAGCATATGTTGCCGGTCAAATCAGTACTATGTTGACTTGACCGGATCAGCAGCTAATTATACCCTTAATTTATTAATGTGACGTAGATTATGCGAAAGCGATAATATCTAGAGTAACATAAACCAATATAAAGTGGGTTATACCAGGGCGAGAATATCTATAAAGGCTTAAATAACTAACGTTAAGTGAGTTATGGATGATAATATCTAAAAAACGATAATATTTAGAACGACTCGAGGGCGATAATATCTAGAAAGCGATAATATTTAGTATAAATATATATTGGTTATCCCTATATCAAATATTTAAATTGTACTTTTATTTCTATCATATTATCGGAACTTAGATGTTGAATTTTTAATTTTTTTTTTATAATGTGAAAATTTGCAGTCACTACCATTTGAATACATTTTTAATAAATTCACGATCGAACCTAATAATTTGCAAACTATGTCAGATAAGATAAACTCGGGGGAAACACCATTTGTGTCCCATGTAGTTTTGATATTCTACTTAGGTAGTCAACTTTCTACTATAGTTAAAAATTAGTTTTGCAAATAAGTCTCCTAATTCTCATTTATTATGATTTATGAACTTGGAAGTGTTTTTGGCTAATGCCTTATGCTTAGTAAATCTCTTGAAACTGATTTTATAACAAAATACCAGGAAAAAAACAAATGTTGTTTTGTTTAAATTCTCCTAATCAAGGTTCTTTCATTGTTTTTGCAAATGATTTATATACAAAAGTAAACATAGTCTTTGTCAAAAAAATGGTTTGGTGTATAGAAGGTTAATTCGGATGATCATATCAAAAATTTATCAAGACCACACTAAAAAAGTAGTGTAAGCATCATTGTTAGTATGACATTTTTTCTACAATGTATAAAAAGATCTATAAGACCCTGTACAAATATATGTGTCGTCAGTCATCGGAAGATGAATATAAAATATTCTATTCTCTCCGCTACAGATGACTCTTTTTTTTTTTTTTCATACACAAAAGATAATCCATTTCTATTTTTAGTAAATCAAATTTAATTAAATTTCTAACATACTTCTTTGCAAACGATATTTATATTACATATATTTTATTGAAATATAATATTAAAAATATTTAAACACATATTTTAAATTCTTTTAATCATTAAATAACTAATTTCATATCTAAATAATTAATCAATACATCGTAAATTCGCTCCATCTTTTCACGGAAGTATTATTATATGTTAATATATAAATTTAATATGAACAAGGCCCACTAAAATTGGGCGTGGCTACATTACATTATTTTGGGCTTGTTTAGACCAGTACATTTAAATCGGCCAACCATTTGTGAATTAAAGTTTGGAATAGGATTGACAAGCGACAATAGTGAGAATTTAAATTAAAATAAAAAATTTGATAATATAAATAATAATTTTTTTGGTCTGTTAAATTTTTTTTAATTTTTTTAATTCATCCATTAAACTTTCTTTATTCCTAATTTTAATAACATCAATGATATTTAATTATTATTTATTTATCTATTATTTATTTACAACACATATCATTATTTTTGTTACATTCTTTTTATTTTTTAATTTAATTAAATTTTTAGAAGTATCTTTAATCATTTTTTATTTTTATTGTTTTTTTTAAATAAAATATTTATTTTTTAAATTTTCATACGGGCCTTAAATATTCTAATTTTATTGAATTAATTTAATATTTTTTTGAATCAAAAACAGTGCTATACGATATTAAATAAAAATAAAATACTACATTCTTAAAATATTATTGTTTGGAGAGAGAATAAAAGATGAATAGTATGAAATTGACAGGAGTCAAATTTTCAAACAAATGGATAAATTATTGTGTTTTAAAAATATTTTCATAATATATAACTTTTAAATAATTTACTTTACATTAAAGAAAAGAAATACTATTTCGGTGTGTTTGTTTGGGGGTTTGGATTTTGAGTTGGAATTTGAATAGTAAAAATTTTGAATTTGAATAGTTATATGATGTGATATAAATAAGTGTTGACGTGATGTTTTGAATGTAAAATTGATTTTTTAGTATAATATAAAAAATAAAAAATATTTGTTTGATTTGATGTTTTTTGGGAAAAAAATGGGATGAACAGCCTCGAACAAACACACCCTTTCTATAATTTTTACTATATAAAAAATAATGTCATAAAAAACAAATAAATTTAAAGATAATTTCTTTGTATAATTTTACGTATTATTTATTTATAAAATACTAGTAAAATTAAATAAATAAATAGTGAAATAAATATAAATTTTTTAATAAAATATTTCTATTATAGTACTCACTATCGTGTTCAGTTTTTAATTTTTATCTATCTCATTTATTTTTTATCACTTTCATTTTTAAAAAAAAAATTATATATTTTATTCATATATTAAAATTTTAATTTATATATATATTTTTTATTTTAATTAAACTAATTAATTATATTAATTTTAATTTAAAATTATTTTTATTATAAAATAATTATTTAAATTAATATTCCTTCCGTCCACACATAAAGCAAATATTTACTTTTGATATTTTAATTATAGTGAATAGTTAAAAGTAGTAAAATAACAGTTTTGTTTTTTTTTTTGAATAAAAATAATAATGTGACGTAAGTAAAGATATTTATAAAAAAAAATGAAATAATTATTTACTTTTTTTGGTTAAAAATAATTACCGAACGTTTCAAAATAAAAATACGTATAATTTCTGTAACTACGTTCTTTATTATATTCCAATTTGATGTATTTCGTAAACGAGACACATAGGCGGGACGAATAATATATAAAATTAAAATTAAAATTAAAAATTTCGCTCAAACAAAGACAGTCTTACCCTCCACGGCAGGTGGTCCTTACCGTATATTATTACTATATTATTATTAAAAGGGAATAATATCTGAAACTCAAACATAGACCCAAAATCGAAATCGACGCTGCAGCTGCATCTCTTCGCACCCCTTCCCTTCCCTTCCCTCGAAACCCTCTTCCCTTCTCTGCTACCAAGTTTCTGCTTCTTCTTCAACTCGCAGGCGGGCTTCTTCCATCTCTCTCTCTCCGGAGCGGGTTTCATTTTCTTGTGTTTTGCGTGACTTCTAACATTAACCACTTCAACCCACAAATTCGTTTCACATTCAACAAGTTACTCAAGCCTCTTCCGAATCGATCTCTCTGGAATTACACTGAATCGAGTTTCAAGGTACGCAAACTTGAATATGTAATTGGATTTCTATCTATCGCGCTTTGTATTGTGTTTATCGCGCTGTTGTGTTGGGGGTAATGCCCTAGAGGATGATCAATAAGGGTTGCAGAGTTTAATAGTATCTGAGATTTTACCTTCTGGCTTCCATTTCGACGTGGCTGCCAACATTTGAGTTTTGTCTTATCTAACACATATGCGCGTGTGTATATGATTTCTTCTATGATGCTAGGCCATTAATTAATTCGGAAGAAGTATGAGTGCTCCTCCTAATCGAAGGCTGCACGAGGAGGGTGGGGCTGGCAGTGGAAATTACAGTCACCAATCTGTTTCAAAGTATCCTCACGACGATCAGGGAGCGTATTCTGGTTCTGGTGGAAAGGGTGTGGCCTCAACCAGGCATGACTACCATACTCCCTATGATATGGGTCAGGAAGGTCGGATTCCAAAAATTCCATCTAGGGATGCGGACAGGAGACCGCCCATGCTTCCGAATATGTTGTTTAGGGTTTCTACACCAAATGATCTACACTCTGATCATGTTGGTGGCACGGAGACCAGGATGGACTTCAGAGATTCGAAAGACAGCATCAAGGAAATTAAGGTTGATAGTCGTGAAGTGAAGTCTGATTCTAGAGAGATGCATCAGAGTGGTAAAAGTGATAAATATGATAGCAGAGCTGATGATATGAAAGATACAAAACATGAAAGGGATACCTATTCTGAGCTAAAGAGCAATGAGAAGATGGACAAAGAGAGTTTCTATGCATCTAACACCCCTTTAACTTGGAAAGATATGAAAGTGAAGCAATATTCTGATGTTTCTGCCGAACCTTGGCATATTTCTCGTACAGATTTACATGGCCCAGCTGATGCCACAAAGGAAGGATTGCATGTTGATGACAGGGACCTTACTGACGCTCGTGAAGCAGTTGGGGAAAACAGGGTGGATACGAAAGGGGAGGAAAAATTTAAAGACAAAGATAGAAAGAGGAAAGAAGTAAAACACTGGGATTGGCCGGACAGGGATAAAGAAAGAAATGATCGCCGAAACAACGTACAGATGGGTAGCAGCAATAGTGAAAACAGAGAAGTAGTAAGGGAAGAAAGAGAATCTGAGAGGTGGGGAAATGAAAAGAAAGATCCCCTGAAAGACAAGGAAAAGCAAACTGAAAAGGATCATGTCAAGAGGGAAGGGTGGACCGGTGTGGACAAAGAAGCTTCACACCCTGAAAAAGAATTAATAGATGTCCCTGGAAAATCTGTTGAACAGGATTGCTCAACCCTTGAACCAAAGAAGAAAGATCATGATACATGGAAAAATGTTGACAGGGAGTCTAGGGACAAAAAGAAGGAAAGGGAAGCTGATGTAGAATCAGAGAGACCTGATAAGCGCAGTAGGTATCATGAGAAGGAATCAGATGAAGGTGGTATGCATGCTGAAGGTGGAGTGGAACAGGAAAAAGAATCCTTTAATTCTGGGGTTCAGCAGCGTAAGAGGATGCTACGGCCAAGGGGAAGTCCCCAAATTGGAAATCGTGATCCACGTTACAGGCCAAGTTCGAATGAAAATGAAGGGTATGAATCTCTCTCTCCAACTTGAATTCTATGCGAGAGTATACTAAGGTGGAAGTTTTTGTGACTTATTTAATTGCTATCAAGATTCTGTTCCTTCTCAGACTTAGTACATAAAGCATTCAACTGTGTTTGGTTCTATTTGCTCCCAAAAATTTTGGAGTTGTAGTTTTCTCTGTCTTCAGTTTTCTTTTATACAGTATTTTCTTGTTCTCTGTTATGGGTCACTTCCTTGAGTCTTTTCAAGCAATTGGGGGTATTGATGGTTCCTCCACATAATATGAAGTCTGCAGTGACCTTACCATTAGATGTTGGGATTTTAGTAAAAGAGATATATCCATTAAATCACAAAGAAATGAGTAAAGGCCACCACCCTAGAACTGCCTTTATACATACTCTTTACTACTCTCTTGATTTGTCACCTGATGTTAACTCAGATGCTCTTCTTTATTGATTAGCTTTCCTTGGTTTTGGCTGTTATGATGTGCGGGTGCCTGAAAATTTTATCTTTTGGCTTTATGCAGGTCACAGGGTAAGCATTTCAATTGACTTGTTGGCAGAAGTACTTGACGGTTCTTAGGCCAAACTTTTACCCTCTGATTTCTCTGATTTATTAAACCCAGAGCTTAACTATGTGGAAATTTTACTGCTTTTACAATGACATTCCTAATACTTAAAATCTGTTTTGAGTAGAAATTCATGAATTAGGGAAAGGCAAAAGGTCGTCTTATCAATGATTCTGCATGAGTCATGCTATGGTTCTTTGAAGTTGATTTGAGTTGAAGTTTTTTGTATGAGAGTACATGTGCTTACGAATTCTTCTGTAGCAAGGCAATTGCTTAGTGGTTCCTTTAGTTCTATCTCCTTGATCAAGTGTTTTGAGGGGATTAACTTAGTGTAGAAGTTTGATTGTTTCAAATGCTTCACTTTTTATATTAATGTAATTATTAACTTCTTTAACCAATTTAAATTGTCCAACTTTAATACTGATTTCATGATTTTATCCCATTACTCTTAAATGTTCAAGTTTTATGCATCAGTTGCTTGCAGTGTTTAATGCAGAAGTCAATTGTGGTGATAGCATGATCTGATGCATAAGTTACTTTTGCTGTTAAAGCTTTTTTGGTTGTTCTCAAAGTCTATTATCCGATGGTTATCTCTGGATGGATAGATTTGACAACTAACCCTTCCTAGCACTCTAATCTTGAAGAATCAGTATCATAGGACTTGGGGAGCTACTTTGTGTGACATTGGAAGTTACTTTGTCCTAGTCAAATTTTTGTTGTTGATATTTTCTTAGGAAAAATTATGTTTAACTGTTTCTCTACATTTTTCTGTCATCATTGTATTAAATGATATATGACATTGTGGCCTACTCTGGAATAGTGAACTTGACAAATCTTCAAATTTTTTTATGTTATTATATTTTCCTTGATTCTTGGTGCATTTTTGCAGGCAAGGCTGATATGTCATGTGTTGTTTATAAAATTGGTGAATGCATGCAAGAACTAATAAGATTGTGGAAGGAATATGCATCTTCACAAGCAGAAAAATCAAGTGAAGGTTCTCAAAGTGGCCCTACGCTGGAAATCAGGATACCAGCTGAGCATGTCACTGCAACCAATCGCCAAGTAAAATACTATACTGCAAGTTCAATTTACTGTTTTGAAGCAAGTCTTAACATATATATATATATATATATATTATAATGTTCCTCTATCTTTATTTTCTCTTTTTACTTTTCTAAACGTGCCATGATTGGTTTGTGTATCACTTTCTGTTATTGCCTATTACAATTCACTTATCTGAAGTTCTTAAGCTAATTCATACTTTTCTTTGGAATCTTATTTCATCATAACACTGACGCCTGTTCCATACTTTTTATGACCTTATGCTGGTTGGTTTGAAATGAATTTCTTGTCATTTTGAATGGATGCTGAGCTGTTTTATGTTGGCATTATTACCTTTTGTATACAATGACAATGTTTAGTACCTACTATGCATGAATAGTAAATTAGCATTCAGCAGTTGTTTGGCATCTGCCTGTTAACTACTTCAGACATCAAGATATCCCTGGAATTCGCTTTGCACAATGAATATTTTGTTAGTATTTCAGTCTGTCTCATTGTTTTAATCATACGAATGCTCTTCTGCAGGTAAGAGGTGGGCAGCTGTGGGGCACAGATGTGTATACGGTTGACTCTGACTTAGTGGCTGGTATATATCTCCTCAATATACTCTTCAATGTATTAGTAAAAACAACTTGGATACACATTGACTGATATAAACCACTGCTCTTTTAGTTCTGATGCATACAGGTTATTGTCGCCCAACAGCTTCTCCTCCTCCATCATCTACCCAGGAGTTAAGGGCTACTATCAGAGTTTTGCCTCCCCAAGAATGTATGTTCAGAAAAACATTTAGTGTTTGAAGAATTACTTGCAAAGCATCTGGTTGTAGGATTTCCTACATATTTTTACTATTTATAAAAAAATTTCCATCAAAAATATTTAATCAAATATCTATTTTGTTATGTTTTATGTAACACTAAAAATTACTTTTACATATCGAATCAATATTTATTTATATCACATTAAACAATTATTTTAATTTAAAGTTTTACTATTTAAAACTCAAATCCGACAAATAAACACACACTTGATATTTTTAAATTAGTATTATGGAGCAAATGATTTTGACTATGATCAAACCAAATAACTCCGTTGTCGGAAAGTACACTAGCTATACATACAACACCAAAACTTTAATTTGTGCATTCAGAATGTCTTTTTTGGGTCTGGAGAGTTATTCGGGAAGTTCATGTGGGAGATTATATTGGAGAGAGTGATTCATCTTTAAGAGAATGAGTTTGTTTTACTTTATTTCCATATAATTGTATCACATATTGGATTTAGATCATTATACCTTCCATACGATAAGTAAAACTGTTGCTATGTAAATAGAATGTATTCTTAAATGAGCGTATGTCCATTCCGGAAGGTCATTTGGGAGATTTTATTGGAGAGTGTGGTCATCTTTGAGAGATTTAGTTTCTTTTACTCTATTTGGATATATGTGTTTGATAATGGATTTAGATCATTACACCTTCCATACGATAGGTGAAATCGTTTAATTCTTAAATAAGGGCATGTCCATTCCGGAAGGTCATTTGGGAGATTTTATTGCAGAGTGTGTTTATCTTTGAGAGATTTAGTTCGCTTTACTTTATTTGCATATGTGTACCTGATAATGGATTTAGATCATTATACCTTCCATACAATAGGTAAAATCGTGTACTATATAAATAGAATGTATTCTTAAAAATGAGCGCATGCCCATTCCGGAAGGTCATTTGGAAGATTTTATTGGAGAGTGTTCATCCGTGAGAGATTTAGTTTGTTTCACTTTATTTGCATATATGTGTATGTGAGAATGGATTTAGATCATTATTTACTATATAAAATAGAATGTATTCTTAAATGAGTTCATGCCCATTCCGGAAGTTCATTTGGGAAATTTGATTGGGCAGTGTGATTCACCTGTGAGAGAATTAGTTTGATTTACTTTATTTGCTTGTATGCGTGTCTGATAATGGATTTTTAGATCATTATACCTTCCATACGATAGGTAAAAATCATTTACTATATAGATAGAAAGTATTCTTAAATGAGCGCATGTCCGTTGGGTAATTATCAGTGTATTTAAGGTAGAAATTATAACGGGCTTTAGGATTTATAAGTGCATGTCCATTGAGCGAATGCCTTCTTAAATGAGACGGCGACATTGTTGGTTTAATGACACTTGTGAACAGGAAGATGATCTCTCAAAACATTTTCTTAAACAAGCATTCTTTGCCTTGATTCGAATTACAGCATATCCCTCTTGATTACCATTATTTAATCTTTCTTGTTAAGTTGTCAATAATTTTACTCTTTTTGTGCTATCTTGTACTTATTTGACCAAATGTTCTTATTTATTGAAGAGCTTACTACATTTAGTGAAACATCTGCTATGATAAAGGAGCCCTCTCTCTCTCTGTCCATATTGTTCTTTTATTTCCTTTCATAATGAAATGCATGTATGGGCAAGTACTTACACTGCTCATTCAATATTTGTTCGTATTATATTTCTATGCCACAAGTTGCCTACACTGATATTATTTTTCTCCATTTAATTAAGGTTACATTTCTACACTGAGGAATAATGTTCGATCGCGTGCATGGGGAGCTGCGATTGGTTGCAGTTACCGTGTTGAGCAGTGTTGCATTGTGAAGGTTGTGCTTGCCAAATTAAATTAATTCTCTTGCAATGTCTTTATTTTCCTTTGCGTCTGTCATTTGCTCATAGTGTATTCATTTAGAAGTGAGAACACAATTTGCTTTTTATTTTATTTTATTTTTTTAATTACTGATCTCTTTGTACACATACCAGAAAGGAGGTGGCATTATTGAGCTTGAACCTTGTCTCACACATTCATCAACCATGGAACCCACACTGGCTCCAGTGGCTGTGGAACGCACAATGACTACAAGAGCTGCGGCTTCGGTATATGCCTTGTGATCTGATTGTGGATGCTCTGCTTTCCTTTATTATTTTCTTAAGTTGATGGGATCTAACATACTTCCACCATACCCAAATTCTCTAGAATGCATTACGACAACAAAGGTTTGTACGTGAAGTAACAATTCAGTTCAATCTCTGTATGGAACCCTGGTATGCATTCGCCACCTATATTTAGTTAACATTTTCGTGTTTTCTATCATCTACTGTTTCTCTTCAGAATGCTCTTGTTGTTATAAGTATATCCATTTATTCTGTCACTGCATTTACTAAAGTTTTTACATAAGGCTAGTCTATTCAGATCGACAAAACAATTATTGGTCAGTTGTGATGGTCTGATATCTCAACTTGAACTTTCATTGTATTGTGATGGGAGCATACTATGCTTAGAGTTAGTGATTTCTCTAGTATTTTAGATTGCTATTGAGATGCATTTTCTCAGTAATTATATTCAGCATTTTATATTTAATGCAGTGAATACTGAAATCAGAATCTAGCAAATGTAAGTTAAATTTTGTTTTAGTATATGCTTATCTGTATTAGAGGTGATATAGATGCATATTATGTGTGGTTAAGCTTCTCAAAGTTGTTTCTGCATAGGTGTATTTCAACTCAATTATTTCACTTTGCAAAATCTTTACTTCTCTTACAAGTTATGGTAATATTCCTAGCACCAATAGCTACTTTCATATTTATGAGGCAGGATCTTTTTTATTTACTTGGTTTTGTCATTGTATCTTGTTAGGTATTTGATTTCCATATTAATATATTGGTTATTGGCTCCTTCTAGGCTTAAATACAGCATAAGTGTTGTTGCTGACAAAGGTCTGAAGAAGTCTCTCTTTACATCAGCACGCTTGAAGAAGGGGGAAGTGCTATATGTAGAGACTCATTCCCGCAGGTGACAAATCTAGAGATTTTAATTTCTTGTAATATTAATCAATCGGTTTGATCACCTTCCTTAATTATGGTACTTTGAATGCTCTTACATTAATTGAGTGCACTTGCTACATTCTTATTCCAAAATATAGAATTTGATTTTTGTTGTGACCTATGATTTGAAAAGTAAATAAAGGTGTACTCATTTATAGCCCCAAGAGTGTGCAATAGACGATGGCCAGGAGTATTAATAAAAGAAGCCAAATGTCAAACCTACTGACCACTTGTAAATGATATGCTTCCATCATTAGATTCAGTTTTCTGATGTTGTATGCTAGGAGTATTAATAAAAGAAAATTTTTCAACATTATATTTTTGTGGTAATATTATTTTCAATATCATCTCCTTTTGGTGGATAATTACATAGTTTCAGGTCACCAACATGGAATCAAGTCCTTTTTTTGGTATATATCTCTGATTAATTGATCGATCTTTAGGTATGAACTTTGCTTTATCGGGGAGAAAATGACCAAGACTGGTACTGCACCTCATGCACATGGACTCGAAACTGGAAGGACTCAAGCCCACAATTCACATCTTCCTAATGGTGAAAAGAATGCCGTGGATGGTGAGAGCTCTGTGGTGGATATATTCCGGTGGTCTTTCTGTAAGAGGCCCATCCCTCAAAAGAGCATGCTAAGCATTGGGATTCCACTGCCTCTCGACCACATAGAGGTAACTATTTCCCAGCTTATTGATAAATAAATATATTCGCTCACTACCCAATTTAATTGCCTGCAATATTAAGCATTGCACTCCTTATTTCATCACTTCTAAACATGGATGGTTAGAGACTGATAAAAACCTGTTATTTTGTGCTCTTTGAAAACTTTCAGGTTGTGGAAGACAACCTGGAATGGGACGACATATCGTGGTCGCAGACTGGTGCCTGGATTGCAGGGAAAGAGTATCAACTTGCTCGGGCTCATTTTCTTTCCCCTACCTCCTAATTATACATCTTCCAACATTATCCTTTATTCCGACTTCCTGATGTCTTAGTATCTTGATTTCTATTTCTTGTTGGACGTAAGAATGTGTCGACAAAACCTTCTCATACATACATATATTCACTGGACTCCGCAAATTAGACTCATGTAATCATGTTGGTGTACTGAAATTGTTTTGACTATGCAAATCTGATTTCTTTAGGCTTAAAAAGTTTTCTTCTGGTGATCCTTCCTTAAGATTGCTGCAGGCAGATTATAAATAGGAGATATTGCAACAGCATTGCTCGAGGGCGAAACAGGTTTTTGTCGAATTGTATTTTATAGCCTTTAGCATAAGTTCAATCATATATTCAAAATCAGTACAGTACCAAGTTATAGAAAATGTGGACATTTCAGATACATGAAAGATCAAATCCGATCATTGGACTTATCGACCTCCCGAACTCATGGTGGCTCGGAACTTCCCTTGTAGCCACGCAAGTCGCCTCTCGCCCTTAAGAGATATGAATATTTCTCTTGCAGAGGAGTTTTCAAACAGGTCGAGAGCATAGAAGTAGAGTGACTGGTCGATTCCTTGCATCTCATCCAATACTCTTATGCATTTGCTTATGCTAAAGCGTTCGTCATTCCTCATGATCGCAGCAGCTCTCATTTTTGAAGCTGCGGCTATTTCCAACATCGCGTCAACAATGGCGTCGCTTGTTGCCTTGCGGCTTCTCTTGCACCGACCTGAATTTGATGTCATCGACGGAAGTTTATTGTGCACATCTAACATGTTTGCCTCCTCTCCAGATCCGGAAGTTCCATCCTCATCCACAAACGTAGGATTGCCCGACATACCTAATCCAACCACCAATCGATCAAAATAAGAAAAAAACAGGACTTCGTTGAAGTATCGCCATCATTTATAGGTTAAAATGCAGTGTGTGTGTGTGTGCTCAATTAATCTGTATAGAACTTTAGTTTTGATTGTGTAATGGCAATTACATACATTGGTAATTCTATGTCAGAAATAAGATGATTGCAATAGATTGTGTAGATTGTATTAATATACACCGATGTCTATATGCAAATCTTGAAAGTGATCTGAATAAATAATGCCTGTGGGAATTAACCAAAAAAATCGACAATGAAATTAAATCATCAAATTGCAGGAGTTAGATACATAAGTGACTGGAAACTGCAAAGTTACCAAAACCATGAAATGTGTTTGCATATAACGTTTTTCGCAGGAAGGCAATCGGCAAAAACTTCTGCAAATTATATATATGGTAAATGCTATAGACATTCTTGCATGAAATAACCGTGTATATATGTATATATACAATTTTTATGGTATTTCATGTTAAAAATGGATAGTTCATACAACATAAATGTCAATCAGAATTTAGAAAATATTATGGATAAATTGGATAGAACAAAAGAGAATTCCTACAGGAGGATGGGGGCATTGGGTTGGGCATCCTTTCCAAGATTCTAATAAAAATTTGCTTTCATTTCTGGGTTTGTTTGGTTTGCATTGCCCTACAAATTTTTTAATATTCGGTATGGTTTCCAATAAAAACTCATAAATTTTTTTTTCCATAAAACATCACAGCAAAATACTCTTCAAATTAAAATTCAAATAAAAAACTCAAACTAATAACCAAACCTAACAAACCCATGTTTTTGAGGGTAGGCTTTACATAAAAAGCTTGAGGTGCTGAATTTCATCAGTAGCAAATCGAGATTAGTAAAGAGCAGTTTCCAGAAACATTACCAAGTGAAACCAACAAAAAAAAAATGAAAGATTTGCAACAAGACAGCTTGTAATCAGCATCAATGCACTCTCCCTTCAGTGCTCCAGCCGAAACTCATAAAGGAAAAAATGGTCTCAAGTCTTTTACAGAGAAAGATCAAGACATAGAAGTCAGTGGTTACTCAACATTTAATTTATAACACTGAATTCAAACACCTAGCCAACCAAGAGGCCATTGCCCAAAGGGAGTTTGGTGTAAACTGAGATGGCACCAGAAATTGCAATCATGCTTGACTACAAAGGCACGGAGTGATTCTAATCCAAAAAAATTTGATAGAACTCATGTGATTAAGTTAGTCAAAAATTACAAGTTGAATCTGATCATTTGCGCTAACAAGTTGTCAAGAACCACTGATGGATAATTCTAAGAACATGGATAAATATAGATAATACATACTTTAGCTACTATATTCAAACTGGTAATGCATGCCTGGATCTCAAACCGATCGAATTTCATCAAACCCTATCTAATCAGAATATAACTCTGCCCTAGTTTCCTTGTGAATATTTGACTCAAAATTACAAGGCCTAGGGTTCATATTTAGTTGCAGACACAAGTCTCAACAACCACACGATAAACGCAAAGACATTTGTAAATGAAAAGATTGGTTATTTCATAAGCACAACGAAAATTCGAATAAAAATTGCGTACAAAAACTGACCAAAATTTCATACCTCTGAACTGCCAGAAAGAGAACTATTAATTCAGATAATGAAGGTAAACAAACGCGCACAGCGTAATCCACAAACAAATTGCGAAGGAAAAGAAAGCGAAAAGGCAGCGACAACTGAAGGAGGAAGAACGGCGATTGACGAACGAGGATGGCGATGGACGACGAACAAGAAAGGGCTCAGAAATGTACTGTGAAATTTTTGTTGGACATATTATGTATCTGTCTGTATGTCTATGGACTAAAGAGAAGCCCAAGAAGAAAGGGTGTGCTTGGTTATTACTATTATTTTTTATAAAAAAATTTAAATAAAAAATTAAAAATCAAACCAAAACCAAATAAATTAAGATGTTTTTATTGTATGTTAAGAAAAACAAATGGTATTTTTTAGGATTTGGTTTTTGTTGGAATAATATTTATCAAATATTTTTTAAAAAAACATATATCAAATTAAAATCTTATTCTTTTATAGAATCCCTCTCTATCCACCTTCAATACTATTTAATATTAATATTAATATTTTATTGTTAATAGTACAATATTATGATAAATAATAATAATAAATTATCTTTATATTTATTTTTTTTTCAATAGCATTATTGTATAAGAGGTAACTACAATTTTTTATTTAAATAAAAATTGCAATTATTTAAAGAATGAATAGATGGAGGGCGTACAATTAAAATAGAAAATTAGATGTCTATAAAAATATATATCTTTTAATTTAAAACGACACAATAAATTTAATTTATTTTTTTTTTATGATTTTCGAACACCAAATTCTTAAGAAAACGCACCATATATGATTTTTCACTGCTTTTTCATGCTACCTAAATAGCAGAGTCCCCGTCTAATTATCAATTTACCTCACTTTTATATATATTTTACTGAAATATCATTATAGGGGGCCTATAACGGTTGATGTGATATTTTGAATGTAAAATTGATTTTTAGTATAATATAAAAAAAAATAGAATAAATAGTATATTTGGGGGAGAACTCCAAATAAACACACCATAAGTGTTTGTTCTTATAACAAGGTTATACTTGATTGTGTGAACAAAATGTTGTTAAATAGTTAAATTTATATTATTAATATAGTTGCAAAATTCTACAAAAGTAAGTATTTTAAAAGAGACTCGTGTGTTTGTTTGTAAAATTTTGGCTTTAGATTTTAATTTTAAATAATAAAATACTGAATAAAAATAGTTGATTAATACGATATTTTGAATGTAAAATTAAATTTTAATATTATATCACCCGTGAAGTTCTTCATTGTTTCTTATCAGTGATCACTTTATTGAAACATGATCAAGACATCATTACGCATTTGAATGTTTTTGTACAAAATAATTGTGTTTATTATTATAATTGAAATTCTCTAGCCGGGGTAGTTAATTAATAGGCACATTGCTGCCACCCATCGATGATAACAAGCTGATTTTAGAAGATTTTGATCACTCAAAAACATTTTGGCCTGATGCGATATAATTTTGTTAGCATCAAGTTCAAACATTCAAATCAGATCAATCAATAATAGATTATAATTACCGATTGTATACTAAGGTGCTCTCATCCGGTTTTTAAAGCGACGCAAGCCAGGGTAGGTCTCGATTCAGAAAGATAAAATGCCCAAAAGTTTAAATAGGAGTGGAAAATTCCCCATCTCACTGGGTCAGAAGACGAATTGTCATCGAGTACAGTAGGAGTAGAGTGAGCAACTGCTCAGGACCTTAGAGGGCTTATATAGTTCATATTTTTTCTTTTTTATAATTATCCAGTTTAATTTTAAAATTAAATTTTAAATCTTAATTATATATATTTTTTCTATTTCTTTCTTTTTAACAATATCTCATCCCATCTTTCCAAGTTAATCGTAGTCTACATTTTTCTACTTCACACCCTATTGTACTGCGTCCATCCATTCAAACCAAACTCGTCTTGCTTTAACTCTTCTCTCTTTCACCCTCCCTCAATTCTTTTCGCTTTTCGAACCCCCGGACAGTTCGTCTTTCATCTTTTTTTTCCTCAAATCGACCATGCCCACCATCACGTTCAACCTCTTGTTCATTTTGTGTCAATTAGTGATATTATTTTGAAAATATATTTTAATGATGTGTTTATAGAATCTATAATTTATTTTTACTTAGGATCCTAAAAAAATCCGAAACGACCCTGATTATCGCCGTTGAACAAAATTCGGACTATTTGAGGGAGCTAGGGTTGGGGAAAAGTGGTGGCCTCAAAGTCTGTAAGCCCAATGAAAAATCCAACTCGAGTGATAAAGTAAGATGTTTAACGACTGGAATGGAAAAGTAAGTAGAATAGGTGGAGTTTTGGAATTAATTGTTATAAACAAAATATTGAAAAGTGCAATAATGGAATGTGGTGGTTGCATAAAGGTTACAAAAAATTTTTAAGTTGCCAATGAGATGAGATGTTACAAACTTACAAATAGTGATGAAAGAGTAATGGATGCAATCATGGAAAGTGTTGATAAAAAATTAATGAGATTATTTCTACAAACTATTTCTTCTTTAATTCTAGTAGAAATAATGTATTCGATGATTTAATCGATTAAAACCAGTTTGTGCCATTTTTTTCGATTAATTTGTATTATCTTTTCCAAAAATCATCGCATCGAGTCGCCTCGGAACCCATCTATCCTCCTTGTGAGAAGTATGAGGCCGGAAATTGAATTTTCATACCAACACAAATAATAAATAATTCATAAACAATAGGCCTTTTCTTTTTTTTTTTTTTAACATTAAGGACACAGTAATTTGTAGCCGTTATTTTTCGAATGCGCTTTGAATAAATTTCTGCAAATTAGACTGAAAAGACATATTACATTATGCGAATTATATGTGGCAGACAAAATTTTGTTCATTTTTCAAATGTATTGTTTTCAAAATTACATTGAACTATGTCTAAGTATTATATAAGCTTTGATGTGTTAATGTTTTTAGCAATATTCGAGAACAATCACTTTGTATATAAAAATCGATTTGTGTGGTATATATGCTTTCATTTTTTTATTTTTTTTCTTTACTTTCAAATGATATATATATTTTTTATGTTTGATTTTACAAAATTTGAATGATATAAAAAGTTGAATTAAGTGGTTAAATAAATAAATTAAGAGAAAGGTACGTAGTGGTTAGCCTTATTAGCTTGCAATTAAGCAGTGTGTTCCGTACGTGCGTCGGCTAACGAGGAAGCCCCCAGCAGCTCCTAAGAATATTAATTAGGTTTAATTATATATATGTAAATATTAATTTTCATAATTAAATAATTAAGTAATAATTATTATATTAATAATTGTAAGTTCGCTTTGTTGGAGAAACCACCCCACCTTCATCTCATGATCACTTGTCTTACCAGCTCCTAATTAATTAATTAATTAATTAATTGTACATGAATGATGAAAATTAAATAAATGAGTGCAGGTGCAGGTGCAGGTGCAGGTTCCCATATATATTATAATATGTTAGTTAAATGTATTATTTATTATTATAATAATGAATTAATTAATTTAATCCCACAGGCATAACCATATATATATATATATATATGTATGTATAGCCAGCAGGAGAAGCATCAGAGAAGCTGATGGGGTGGAGGTTAATTAATTAGTGATATATGGTTAAGTATTATTGGGTAGCACAGCACCAAGTGATGCATGATGGAATCAATCAATCCTTAATCTCTTTATTAGGGTGCAGAGGAAGTAATGAATATGTTTTCACAATAATAATAATAATAATAATTAATAATAATGTATGGACAATATTAAATAATTAATTAATAATTAATACAGTGAGTGAGTGAGCGAGTGAGTCAATGGAACCCTAATTGCAAAGCCAAAAAAGAATGGTGGAAAATAAAAGAAGAAGGAACAAACAAACAAACAAAAAAGCAGTAGCAGTAGCAGTAGCAGCAGATGCAGATGCAGCTAGCGATCGACTGCCATTCATTATATCAATCATTAATTTTATTTTTTTAAATAAATATATATATATATATATCTACATTAATTATTGCATCTCTCTCTCCCTCCCCTTAATTTCTTCTCAGCCAGTCTTTCTACCATTCATAAAGTGCTTCGCTTCTTCGTCGTCACGTCTACACACATCACAGATATCTATATCTATATCTATGTGCATGGTAGGGATCGAGTAGCGTGTGTGTACTATATGATAAATAATGAATTAATTAAGGGACACCAAATTTAATAGCTCAATTCAATTAAACTTATTTATTTATAGACGTTGTCACATAAGAAATGTCATTTCAAAGGAATTGTAATGCACGCAGACGGCTCATAGCAGGAACAAGTAAGCAAAAGCTCAGGCCTCTACTTAATAAAAGGTCAATATTTTAAATTATTATTAAATTTTAAAATTAAATTTTAATTTTTAATTTATATTTTTTCTTATTCATAATTATTCTATTTAATTTTAAAATTTAATTTTAAATTCTAATTATATATATATATGTTTTTTATCTCTTTCTTTCTAACCAAGCATCACTCTATCTTTCCAAATTTAATCGTCGTCTACACTTCTTTACGCCACCAGTTCAGACCAAACATGTCTCACCTGCTCTCTTATCTCTTTCACTCTCCTTCAGTCCTTCTCGCTTTTCAAAATTTCGGACAAACCGTCTTTCATCTTCTTTTCTCAAATTGACATGGTCCAAACGGTCACGTTCAACTTCTTCTTCAATCGACGTCAATCAGTGATAATATTTTGAAAATAAATTTTAATTATGTGTTTATAATGCCTATAATTTATTTTCGCTCAGAGCTACAAAAAAATCCGAGACAACCCTGAATGCACACCGGCACTTTGTTCGCACTTTTATTTTTATTTTTATTTTTATTTTTGTTACCTACACACTCACCTTAAAGATTGAGGGAATACCAATTAATTACTATATACGTGGCAAAATTCAGCACCATACTAAATACCACACGATATTACTATATAAAATATATATGGAATGGATCATTATAAAAAATTCACGTAGTACTGTTACTATATAGTGTCAATATAATGATCATGTGGTTATATATTTGTGGTGTGAAATTGAAATACGATCCCTTCTTTTTTCTTTTTACTTACATATGTATGTAGAAATCCATATACATATTCATCCCCCTTAATACAATACATATGATTATTATTATTATTATTATTATTATTATTATTAT